TCCTCCTCCCTCTTCAAAACCATTCCCAGTTCCACAGCCTATTTTTTACATCTGCAGAATTAGGAACTGGTTTAAAAAACAGGACTTGACCCCTGCGATTAATTCATCCTTTCCGTTCCTACCACATCTAGTTTACTGCACTTCAATGGTTTTTACAGCTCACCGACTGCAAGTTACTTTATATTAGAGCATATCGTAGAAAAACTCTGGCAGAAGTCTTTTAACACGTCTGGATAAATCCAGTCCCGGCCTACAGGAGTGCTACAGACCTATATGTCTCTTAATAGTCCTGTGGAAAATAATGACATTAGTACAGTGCCTGAATCAAGCCTGCTCCAAGCATACCATCAGCCCAGGGAGGCCCCAGAGTGAAAGGCAGCGCTGAGACCCAGCAGGCAAAAGTGTGAGTCAGCAGTGAGAGTCACAAGGTGAGAGGCCACAGCACGTAGGACAAACTTTTATATAGCGCCTTTCGGAGGAGGCATGCGCTCACCCCGTGCTCGGTCTTGGTGAGGTCCATCCCGAACTTGGCCGGGCCGGCGGTCAGCACGGTCCGGCCCAGGAAGGGAGGGGAGATGAGCTGCACGGCCAGGGGCAGGACCTCTTCCTCCTCCGGAGCCTGGGTGACCTCGGCGATCAGTTTCACCCTGTACACCCCTTTCTGCGAGGAGGCGTCCTGGAGAGAGAGAGAGAGAGAGAGCGCGACACGCTGGACTGTTGGCCCAAAGACTGGGGGAGGCAAACAGAAGAGCTGGGTGGCTCCAGAGCCCGACCTCCCTCCCCCCACTCCAAAACAGAGCTGCTGGCATCACCAGCCGGCTGGGCGATCCAGCTGCTCAAGACTCCAGCGTCTCAAGCTCTTTTTTTTCCCCAGCTCAGCTCTTGATGACTTAATTGGACCCCCAGTTGGACCCGAGCTTAGGAATAGCAGATTTTAGATCTACCTTACGTGCTTCTTAGCAGCTTGAAAACAGAGGGGAAAAAAAAAGGAAAACAGTTCACATTCTGGGCTCAATGCAGGGGGGCCACGGTGTTCCTGGCGGGACTGAAAGACAGCTCAAGAAGCCCCATCCTGTCCCGAGCCACATAGATCAAGGAGCTGGGACATCGAACGTGAATATCCGAACCCTATTCAACGTCTCTTCCGGGAAAAAGCCCTAATTGTTTCCTGAAACTGTCCTGCAGGAAATATTTGACAGCAGTTTTTTTGAGGTTCACAGTTTAGAAACACGTCAAGGTTTTAATGAAATGTTTAAAGAGTGCAGTCATCCTGTTAGAAAGTCTGTGTCCACAGCCGACTGTGTTAACTGTGTTAAGCCGCTGGCTCAGCTGGGGTACAGTCGCGATGGGGGGGTCAGTGCCCACACGTACAAGGTCTGCACTTACCAGCTGCGCCCCCGTGCTGGTGACCCCAATGCTGCCGTCGCTCAGCGGCGTCAGGGAGATGCCCATGCTCTTCAGAAACTCCATGGGCTCCATGCCGTTGTCGTGCAGGGGCAGCTCGATGCCTCTGAGAGAGAGAGAGGGCACGCGTGCTGTGAGCCGAGACGCGAGGCGGATCTGTACGGGCCAGGCCCGAGGGGGGGGCCAAGTCGGCAAGGTGAGCAGGCTTTTCAGAATTCAAAAAAAGACATTGATGAGAAATCCTCTAGCGTGAATTGTCCCCACTACAGGAAGGGGGGGGTGGGGGTAGAGGGCCTCTCTTGAAGCACCGTGTGAGCAATTCCACCTTTTCTGGACCCAGTTGGGCACAAAAGCTGGTGTGGTCTCCTATAACAATCACTCCAGCGTGGCACCATATTGACCTGCTTGAACTGCCCTTCAAGCCTCGCTACACTCGTATTCATCATCGTCATCCTATAACCATAGGCATTGTGGGACTGTACCGGTGCTGTTTCTGACCTAATTCCAAAGCAATGGTACGAGATGCAGATGCTGGACTCACCTGCCTGCTGAGGGCTGGTAGCCGCCTCCTGTCCCCATGAGGTATTTGGAGCCGTCCCGGATGGTCTTGGCGAAGGAGGGGTTGTTGGGGAAGAGCGTCTGCGCGCTGGGGCAGGAGTAAGAGAACAGGTCCTCCTCAGAGGCGTAGACGCCCTGCAGCCGGGAGACAACGCGACACAGGGTGACGTCGCTGGGGGGGGCAGGCCGGGCGGGGGGGCCGAATTCACCCCCGCTGGCCTCGCGACTGGAGCCCAGCTCCGCGGAGAGCTTTCTTTTCATGGGACAGCGGCGGCGGGGATGGGAATCTCTCTCCCGCTGCACAGCGGGCCGGTCCGCTTCCAGGTCTTACCCGCTGCAGAAAGACGCCCGGCCTGCCGTCGTTTTGCGCTGACCACGCACGGAAGACCAGAAATCCAACTCTCACCGCACCTCAATCTCTTTCAGGTAGGCAGAGGAGCAATCGATGTCGTTTCGAGCATCTTGACGCTCCGCACTTGGCTTTTTCAAACTGACAGAAAAGGGGCGCAACGTGCAGATGGCGATGAGGGCGCTGGTGACTGCGGGGATGGGGGGCCGGAGTGGGGACCAGGGGACTCACAGTGCGGTTGTCCTGGCAGGGGCCCTGCGAGGTGGACAGGGAGATGGGCAGGAGATGAGCCTCGGTGGTGAAGACGTAATCGTCGATGTCGAACGGAAGCTCGCTCTTCTCGGAGAACAGCAGGTACAGGTACTTGAACATCTCCGCCAGGAAGAAGGAGTCCATCCTGGGATCACAAACAGGCGGGACACGGTCAGGGAGACCTTCTTAACACGACGGGGATCTGTGCTCCCACCTTCGTTCCTCGAGACACTGTCCTGGCTCTTCTACTGCTGCTGGGAATCGATTCAACCGTGTTCAGCCCTGATCTCGGCCCACAGCTCTGTGGACAGTTTCTGGCAGAATCCCTGTAGGACCGCCATCTTTAGACACATGCAAACCTGTGGGGTTTTTAGTAACTATTAAAGCACAGACCACTAGACTCAAGAACAGCTTCTATCCCACTGCTGTACGCATCCTTAACAGCTGACTGCAGTGCCTAAATACACATCTGCACAATGCACTTTTTGCATGGTCTACCAAGTGTTTTTTGGTCTCGCTACTACATATTTATTGTTCCCGCTGTCTACATTGTGTGGTGTTTTCTGTTGTACTGTGCATGTCCCGGGAGATCAGCGCGATGAAGAATTCCAATGTACGCGTGACATATTCAACAAACTCCTCTACTTTCCCCTCTGCCCTGATTCTGGGTGGATCTCGGGGGGCGACGCACGGCACCTGTCCTCGTGCGCGCCAGTGCGCACGTCCTGGACGGCGGCGAACCCGCAGGGCACGCGGGCGTGAGCGTTCAGCTTCTCCACCACGGACTTCCCCACCCTCAGGTAGTACGGGTCTCCCGTCGCCTGTGAGGATGAACAGCCGTCAGCTTTTCCCTGCTGCCCCGACCTCCGACCTCTGACCTCCGACCCTCCCACCACCCTCCCATCCGAGCAGCAAGAGCTCAGCTCTTTCGACACCGGCTCTCCCCAGCTCTGGTCCTGGAGCAGCCCTGCGTCTGCTGGGTCTCATTCCAGCCGAGATCTACACCCCCCAGTGCTATACGGTTTAACCAGTTTACTTTCTCAGACCTTTGACCTGTTTCTCGGTTAGTCTCGCGTGTGAAAAATACTCCCTGCCAAGGGTACGGTTTCCGACAGCTTCAGCGCACGCCCGTTTTCTCAGCTGGCTTTCAGCCTTTCTGCACACCGATTAGTCTGAGGCTCGTCTGAAAACCCTGCAGGGGCTGTGCTCTCCCCTCCCCCTCTCGTCCCTACCTTGTACAGGAAGTACGTGCTCTCTGCAAACTCGGGCCTGAGAGGATGCTGCCCCCAGTGGACCCTGAACTCTGTGGTGAAGGCCTGGCCGGGCAGGAGAAAGGAAGAGAGGAGATCTCTAGAACACACTTGAATCATGTGTATCAGCAGAGATTCGAGCGGGAATGATACATTAACATTATGCTGCAGAACGGCTGACAACTGCGTGCTTTTGAGCTGAACATACCTCGGGTAGAAACTTGTGCTCCTTAGTAACCTGATACAGCATTTCATGCGTCTCAATGGCAGGTTTCAGATCCCCTCTCAGCACCTGCACGGCACACATGGGTCGTTATTATCGCAGCTCGTTGCTGTATTACAGGACAAGACTTGACAAAGCTCCACGGCTTTGGCATCTGGAGTCAGGGATTACTGACAACCAAGCAGGCTGGAAGACACCATTGTCTGAAGCGACTTGAGCAGGAATGGGTACCTGCAATCCTGGGAAGAAGGCGAGCAGAGAGTCCATCCAGCTGCGCACGCTGATGGTGGGGTTGTGCATGTGGACGCTGAGCAGCAGGGGCGGCTGGCTGATGTACTTCATGATGGCAGCGTAGTGCTGCGGAGCGGACAGACACCAGCAGGGGGCAGTGCAGTCAGTCACTGTCCCCCCCCAGGACTGACACACACACAGTAGCCAGGCTACAGGGCGAACCTGCTGTTTCACCCAGCCCTACAGCAGGATAATGCTCCAAGTCTAAAACTGTGAGCCCCATTTGGAGTGAAAGTAATTAAGAACTGACACAAAACAATGCAATATCGAGGCAATAAGAGACAACAATATTGGTCTGACCTAAATGAACAATGTTATTCTGAAGACAACTTTTTCCGCGCTCATTTAAACTAGTAGCGTTCTCAGGTGATCAGCTAGTGGGATCGTAACCCTTCTTCCGTCTGTTCTCAGAAAGCTGCTCATTCATGGTGCGAGTCAGTGGACAGAAGCTGGGTGGTCACACATTGCAGGACACGCACAAGCACACAGGGGTCAATTTAGAGACACCGATTAAACGAGTCTGAGGAAGCTAGCAGGAAGCAACCCTCACAAAGGCATTCAGAGCACACAAACGCCACACAGCAGGTTCTCCAGCCTCCGAAGTAGCAGTACACACTCCTCCACGCCACTGCGCCACTCACAAAAGTCAAAGACAACAGCCGTCAGTGCGTGCAGTGGGGCCTGGCCCCCACGGCACACGGCGCCTCCCCACTCACAGTGTTGAATCTCTCCAGGTAGACGTCGTCCCCCAACAGGATATACGCCTTCATCAGGTACTCGTAGTACGAGTCGATCCCGGCTCCCACTCCGCTGTCTGCGAGAGGAGAGGGGGAGAGCGGGGAACGGGGAAAAGAGAGACAGGAGGAGAGGAGAAAGAGAGAGGGGCATACGGGAGGAGAGACAGGGAAAACTCATCGGAAAGAGAATTTCTGCACGTGAAAATTCCGAAAAACGCCACGGAAGTCCTAGCAGGAGAGCCGAAACCCTCCTCACCCACTGCCCGGCCCAGATCGCGGCGGCTTGGTTTCGTGCTTCAGTGAAGACACCGGAAACGCAAACCCCGGAAAAGAGCGAGCCAAGCGATCGAGGGGGGCCCGTCGAGTCTCTCACCCCTGCGGACCCAGTCGCCGTTGTGGATGTTGATGACGGTGCCAACGAGGTCACTTCCTCTCTGCCTCTTCTGCCACAGCACGTCCAGAGCTCTGCGAGCGTGCTCCTGTTCCCCAGCGGGAGACACAGAGAAACGCCACAGGTGAACACAGCGTCACTGACGCACGCACGCACGCCAATCTCTCATTACGATACCACTCAGGCATCTCGCAACACGCACACTCACTGCCCGCCCGAGTCTGGTACCTCATACACAGAGTCCCCCAGCAGACGACTGAGCGCAGCGAACTCCAGGATCATGGTGCCGGCGCAGGCAGTGCAGGTGTCCGATTCAGTGCCTGTCCGGGACAAGGGGTTGAGGACCCCGTAGCGCAGGTTGACCTGGAACACAGACGGAACCCAGGGACATCAGCCATCTGCCCCCTGAGCCTGTATACAACTGCTGTGCTGCTATACTACAGATCGCCTCCAGATGGCAGCACTGACAACTAATAAACCGAAATAGGTTCAGATTTAAAAATACTTAACCACATTAGCAAACAGTTTTATGAAACAAAAATGGACTGCAATTAGGTCTTTAACTAGTACAACCAGTTAAAAAACCACATTAAATATCTGGCATTTGAATTGATGATCAAACAGCAACTCCAAGTTGGGCTGAAATTTGGCATTCAGATTGTTCAGATTAATTTTAGTTTTAATTTACTAAGGAATTTTTTTAATTTGAGCTAACTCAAAAAGAATGGTAAAGCCCCTGACTACCGCATTCACTGAGAAGAATACATGAGATGCAGGACGAAGCTGAGGACAAGGTCGTACAAAGACACTACAAAGTAAAAAAAAAACAATCATGCAGTCCCATGCACTTCTGCCCCATGACCCTTGACCCTTGACCCCTGACCCGTGGATAAGGCAGGCCACTGGTGGTGTTGAAGGCGGGCAGCAGGCGGTTCCCCAGCTCCTTGGCCATGTGCAGCAGCTCGTCTCTGTACCACAGCATTCGCTGCCCACGCTGACGCAGCATGTCTGCCATCACGTGCGCCCCCAGCAGGCCACTGCAGAAACAGCAAGGTGGGGGGGGGAAAACAGCAGATTTTCAGTCCGACACTGAAGCTACTGTGTGATTTAACTGACATGTCGTAAAGAAAACCACAGGAGTAAATAACTTCCCTTGCCAATACTTAGGTTAAAAACTGAAGGCCAGGAATTCCCGTGGTCAAAAAGGGGGGACCCCTTTTTACAAAGGGGTCCCCAGTTCCGACGCCGACCCTCCCTTAACGTCACAAGAGTTGTTGGCCAAGGTCTCTTGTGGAACAGAGGCATCCACTACCAACAACCTGCTTTACAGGCTCAAACTCCAACACCAGATCTCAACTCGGCCCTGAAATCTCACTGCATCAACAGTGAAACACACACCAGTGGAAGCTTTGCACCACGGAATTTTTCAACCGAGATGCAGGCGGCACTTCTGTCCACAAAGGGTGGCCAGAGTCTGAAATATGGCTGCCCAGCCATGTTATTGTGGCAGATTCCCAGTCCCCAGGAAAATCCAGTTGCCCCTAAATGGGCCAAACTGTAACCTTTCTTACGGTAAATAAATGGAACAGTTTGGTACAAGTGCTGACACAATGAAGGAAAAAAACTGCAAAAAAAACAAGGCCCAGTGGAAACAAGCCAACCGAAACGCTGAAAACGTTCTTCTCCGAGCTGCTCGAAACGCAGACGCCCTGCCCCCAGAGCCTGTACCCCAGCACACGGATGTTGGTCTCGAAGACGGACACGACCACGTCGTTGTCCAGCCTCACGTCCCGAATCGCCCGGCGCACCCCCTCCTCGAACTCCTCCAGCTTGTTCAGCACCTGGGTGAGCGGGACAGAGCAAGAACGGGGGGGCGAAAAAAGCCGTCAAGCCCTCGCACCCGAAGAAGACTCCACAGCCGAAACGTTGCGTTTTCTTTCTTCTCTTTTCAGCAGGGAAGTAACCTCTTACGAGTTCCTTCGCAGCCTACGCATGCCAACACATCTCCCCACCTGAACTACCCTATAACTGAGTCGGATATGAGATCAGTTTAGACACATCTCACATGCAAGACGCTCTCTGTCTCCTTTGGTAGCACAGCACATGGCGACAGCAGGAACGAGGAGAGAAATAACCCGGAGCTGAGGAATGGGAGGACTCACCACCAGCGTGTCCAAGGTGTCAATGAGGGTGAGAGAGAACCTGTGGAGAGAACAGGAAGCTGCTTCCGATCACTGTGGCTTGACCTCCTGCCTGGCTCACAAGCGCGCTGGAGATCCTGCCCCTACCCCAGTTCCTTCCCCTGACCCTATGCCAGCTCCAGTTCCTGCCCCATTTCCTGATCCAGTTCCTGTCCCAGACCCTCCCCCTGCGCCTGCTCCTACCCCTTCTCCAGGTTCTGCCCTACCCCTACCCCTACCCCAGTTCCTGCCGCTGCCAATGCTTCTGCCCCCGCCCCAGTTCCTACCCCTGCCCCTACGCCTGCTCCAGTTCCTACCCCAGTTCCTGGAGGGCCATGTGGATCTTAATCGCCGGACTCAGCTCATGATTGCCTTAGCCGCTTGCACGCCACAAAACCAGCAACGGACCCGAGCCGCTGTGCATCCGGACTCGGCCACGTACTTGCCCAGCGCGTCGTCGATGTCGCCGCGGTTGGGCTCCATCCCTCGCACCCTGCCCCTGCAGCTCAGGGGCATCAGCTCGTCCGCGGGATAGGCGTGTTTCTGAGGGAGAGACGGCACAGGGCACAGGAACGGACACATCCAATCACGGAAGGAGAAACAGATCGAGGGGTGTGTATAATTGAGCACCAAACAGGAAACAGGAAGTCACATTTTCTTTCCTACTTTCATAAGCACCTCCCTCGCCTTCTTCCCTCAGACTGTAATTATACTCAACAGCAGTAGCTAACCGGGACAGGAGGAGCTTCAGTTAGGCATTCCATGTTCTGTATTTGGCCTGAATTCAGCATGGGGTATATTCAATTTCTTTGGAAAACATTTAAAAGGAGCGTAACTTGCCAGCGCTGAACTGGAGGAGAAACCGCCCTGTGGCTACTCACCATATAGCTGCCATATGCATGGTCAAACATCTCCACCACCTGCTCCCTAAAGAGAGAGACGCGTCAGTCTTGGTCAACACAGAACAGGAACCAGCTTTCAGTCTGTTCTCTGAATGAGCCTCTGGTTAGGAGCCCCAGGCAGAGAACATTAAAATCCCAGCTCTTCAGGTGGGATTTCCACCCGTGTATAAAAGCTTTATTCCAATATGGAAATGTGCTTTCATTGAGAGTAACGACTAATGTAATAATGTTACAGACGTTAGAGTAGCATCTCCAGGCAGACTGAGCAAATCATCACTTCACATGCAGCTCCCAGGGCACTGAGATCTGAGGGGCAACGCCATCACGGAGGGGGTGCAAGCCCAAGGTCCGACTGTTCTCTCTGCTGCCCCCCGCTGGTGGAACCCCCCACCTGTCACAGTCAGAACCGCGGGCTGGCGCGCCATCTTCCGAAAGGAAAAATAAACTCGCTCTCCAGGAAAGACTCAACCCTGGAGGCCTGCGCCCCAGGGGATCGATTAGCTACAGGTTACCATAGGGGCTGGGTGGCGGTCTGCTGGCATTCTCTGGTCCACAGGTGTTCTTGAGCCCCAGAGGCCCTGCCAGCTGGGCGCCGTGCTGCACCACAGCTCCAAAGCCTTTCGCCTCGCGCTGCAGGATGCTCAGCCCTCTGCGCTTGGCTTTTGGGTGCACCTTGTGCCAGGCTGGTTTAGGAGAAAACACCGAGAGGAGACACGGCCCGTTCTAGAAGGCCCAGAGCTCTGAAATACGCAGAGCTGTGGAGCTGAAACAGTTTCAGCACATCAGCCTCGTGACTCCCCCATGCCTCAAACAGCACCTCCAGATCAGAGATGCTGACCTATATGCGTGGAATGCGTGCCGTGAACGACGAACACTCCTCTCCCTCCTGTTCATCGGGGTTTTTTTTTATTTCACACACGAGCAGGACGCTAGAGACTGTGAAAAAGGATCCTGAGAGGGAGCAGGGAGCACCGAGCTCTTGGAGCTTGGAGCTTGGCACAGCGACCAGCGCCAGCAGGGACGGGCGCGAGCTGTCTGAGCAGGGGAGTTGTGGTGAATTCCAGGCGAGATCGTCGCTGCAGGCTGCGGGCTGCACTCTGCTTCGGCAGCGCTGACGCACGGCACAAGAATTCGGGCTCGCATGCCCTTTGTCGAAAACAAATTGACTCATTTCCCCGAAACATAACGTTACCTAATCCGCCCGGACAGCGGAGAGCACACACAAAACCCACGCTAAAATAAAATCTGGAATACCGGTCTCCTGCTGTGCCGGCTTCCGAGAGCACAACCAGGGACTCGTGCCACCGATGTGAAATGACAAAGCCAACGTAAAATCCGGGGACACGGCTCCGAAGCCTGGGCACGCTGCCGGAGAGATGACTAATTAGCGCGAGGCGGAACGGACCGACTGTCCGGGGGCGGAGAGAGAGACGCAACACGCTACCCCGTGCCAGGGAACCAAATGCCAACTCCAGGACGGGCTCACAGGTGCCCCACCTGCACTGTGGCCCCGAGAGGTCGGGGGCAGCTGGTGGGCATCCTCCTGCACGCACGGCTGAGGAAGACAGCAGGCCTGTACTGAAGTGTGGGGGTCAGAGGGCTTGGGAGAACTGACCACAGCTCCTGTTGCCAAGGTGGGGGGTGACAGCACGCAGGTGGACAGGTGGGTGTGGAGACATGTAGGAGCACTGACTTGTGGAAGGGTTGGGCAGGATCGGTAAACAGATCAGGCAGGTCAGGAAGATCGAAAACCAACATGAAGGAACATGAGAGCAAATATGCATTTCAGTGCACTCGTGCACATGACAATACGCTGGACTGAACTGAAGCACTACTATACAGGCTCCTCTCAGCGGGGTGTCATCCGGCCTGAGAAGACAGGCAAGAGGTCAAAGAGGCAGATCAGCGCGAGAGATGAAGAGCAGCAAGGAGACGAGCTGGAACTCAAATATCTCCCAGCAGGCGAGACGCCGCAGTGAGGCCTCCTGGGACGCTCATCAAAGACAGGCTTGGACAGGCCGAGACGCTCTAGGTTGGAGATTGTGAGTAATCGTGGACAAGCCCAGCCAGGAGACTGTTACTGCCTCACCCTCGGGGGGGCCGCCCCGCTGGAGCTGGAGACCACACTGTGGTCTTGAATCAGTCCCACTTCCCCAGCCTGTGGACCGAGTCCCCGGGACTGGTCACCTGCCCAGGAACGGGCTGGTTTACTGCCACCACGACACTGGATCACCAGGGACAACAAACCTATCCTGGTTTTCCAAGCAATCCCTCCTGCAGCTGCGCTGACATTCCCTCTCCAGAGACTGCCCGTGGTCATGTTTACAATGAACAAGAAAATCATATTCTTCCCGTCCAACGACGGCACTGGATTTACAGAAAATCATCTACCGCCATTCAGCCAGAGAGGATTTTTTTGTCCGGGTTAATTGAACAATGCCCCTTAACTGCAGCCATTTGTCAAGTCCGCACACGATACTCAGTAACAGGGACGCTCCGCCCCAGCATGGAGACCGTACGTTTCTGAAATCCGGACAGGTTTCTGAAAGGCAGGTTTGCCGTGATCGACTTGGAAGCTGTGACGATTATGAGACGAGGGTGTTTGACGTCGCCTCATTCATAGCGATCCGAGTTTTGATTCAGCGGGGACTTCGAACACCAGCTCTGCCCCAGGCTGCTGAGAGAGCTCAGACACAGAGAAGAGCCCGGAACTCCGCTGAACACTCCCCTCTTGTTGATCTGGGCAGATGTCCCGGGTGCAGGTGACCCAGCACCCTGACCCAACAGCAGCAGAGTGAAAACACGCACCCCCTCCTACCCCCACCCACCCAACACTGCCCAAACCACAGGGCGACCTCTAGCCTGTGGGACGGATGCAGAGGAGCCCAGGACAGTGCCTCCTGCTGGGCTGGAAAGTAGGCTTGTG